ATCCCTCTTAATAAGATCCTGCTGGTTTTTATTTTATTGGTATAACAACTAAGGGAACTGTTCAATCCTCATCATTCAATTAGTGGCCCCTGATTTATTTACCGCACACTTTCCAAACCCTGCACTGAATACAGAATTATTTATTTCCTCTGGGTTTCTCTATGGCTCTCATCACAATAAAATCTGAGATACTCATGAATATTAATTAATTTATCTCACAATTCTCTTGGTAGATAGGAAAATATTATAATCCCTATTTCTGAGATGAGGAAAGGAGGTATAGACAGAGGAAGGCCAAGATTGTTAAAAGTGTTCACTAATTTTGGGTGTCCAAATGACTTCAATGTTAAATATAAGGTAATCACATGCGTAAGTTTTTCACTGAATTGGGGTCAGTTTTATGCATACCAGTTGCATAGCATATCTATTTATGCTTGGGTGGCTGCAACCTTATAAAACAATTGTATTAAAACAAAATCTTAGAATTTACAGGATATTCTTGAATGCAACAAAAAATAGGGGAAAATCCTAAAATTGTATTATCTACATTCCCCGGGCCCTGATATCAACATAGGGGTTGTTTGTTTTGGGGGATTTTGCTGCTGTTTGAATAGGACATTTACAATGTCCCTTAGATAAAGCAACAGCCTGAGAGCAGCAATATTGCCAACTCGGTAAGCACGAGCATTATGAGCCAATAAAAAAAAAACCCTCAACCTGGCTTTTTTTTCTAAGTCTTTTTTGGCTTGACTTCTGATTTTCAAACTCTTAGCAGGAAAAGCTCCTTGCTTCTGCCATTTGTATGCATGCATTTTAAGTGTGAACTATTTCCAAAATATGCACACACAAACTGAGAGTCCTGTCTCCTTTTCTTCCTGATGGAAGGGCCACATTCCCTAGCTCCCTGTTCTGCCAGCTCTCCAGGCACCACTTTGGACACTCTCCCCAGCTCGCTCTTCTACTTTGGACACTATTTCCAAGTCTTTTGCAGTCTCCTGTTTCTGTGTTGATTTGAAGAGGTGCTATCTCTTTGGCACCATACTCCTTTCCCTCCCTGCCAGGGGCGCTGCCCCATGCTGTAGGCTTCTCTGTCCAATTCTTCTCCCTGTCTCTATCCTTTGCTCTCCTAATTTCTATCACTATTAATTGTTCCACTGTCCCCTGATTCTTTGACCATGATGCTCTGTCCCCTGCTCTTCTGCTTCTTTGTCCCTTGCTTTCTTGATCCCTCTTCACTGCTCACCTGCTCCTGTGTCCCTGGCCCCTGCACATTCATATTTTTTATGGCTGTGCTGTTTAAAGACTCTTTTTGTGCAAGATTCTTAACTCAGTGGGTGACAGCAGCAGAGGCTCCATGATTCAGCAACCACTAAAGAGGACTATGATTCTACTATTTTGAGTTTCATTCCATTTATCCAACAGAATCTGAAATTAGGCCAAATGCACTTTACTTCTCTCACTATCACGTGGGGAACTTCCTTCAGAGTTCAAACGGGGAGGCTATAAGGCAGGGGTCGGCAACCTTTCAGAAGTGGTGTGCCGAGTCTTCATTTATTCACTCTAATTTAAGGTTTCGCGTACCAGTAATACATTTTAACGTTTTTAGAAGGTCTCTTTCTATAAGTCTATAATATATAACTAAATCATTGTTGTATGTAAAGTAAATAAGGTTTTAAAAATGTTTAAGAAGCTTCATTTAAAATTAAATTAAAATGCAGAGCCCCCCGGACCAGTGGCCAGGAACTTGGCAGTGTGAATGCCACTGAAAATCAGCTCGCGTGCTGCCTTCGGCACATGTGCCATAGGTTGCCTACCCCTAGCTAGAAGGTATAAGGTGTAAGAAAGCCATAACCATATGTCTCACTGGGGCCAGCTGAAAAACAATACAAAGTATCAGGTGTTTTCTTTTGCATCCCATTACTTTTTTCTACCCCTTTCATTACTAGAGTGGATGGTCACAATAAGCCATTTTGTACTCACTGTATGAAGGTTGTTCTCATGTTGTATGTTGAGTCCAGTAAGCAAACTCAGGGAGTTCATCCATTTCCATACAGTTATATGAATGTAAAAGAAAATTGGTATAAATATGTTGTTAGCATTTTGCCAGTCACTACCCAAGCACATAATCAAAGGCTTCTGCAGTTGTGACTGCAGCTTTCAGAAAAATAGACTCAAAATTTAAAAGAAAATTGTCTCTGCAGTCACTAAAGTTTGAATCAGGTGATTTCCAATTTGGGTCAGTGAAGAGCCCCATTTATATACATCCTCCTCTCTGTGGCAACACTTTAAATCTCAAGCCATATAATAGTTTTGTTTCTTAAAGTCTTTGGCCTCAGAGCAAATTTCCATTATTAATATGTCAACCACGGGCAGACTCAATATCTGCAGCTTTTCAGAGCTTATGTGATACAGAATGCCATGAATAACTTTACATAAATGGACTGATAAATGCATGAATGCATTAAGCAACAGTTAACCAAACCACACAGTAAGTTAGCAAGACCTGTTGTATCACTTGAAAAGCTTTAAGCTGTTTTTATATTTTATACTGCATGGTTATGTGCATTTTTAAAATTATTTTTTCTCCATAACTAGACAGTAAAGGAATACTTATATTTTACCTGGTTGCAATCAGTAAGGACTGTATATTGTTCCTATTTTAAAGAATGACAAACTTTGAAAGTGCTGCTTTGATATCACATCCAATTAGGTCATGCTGTTTTGCTGAATCTGAGGCATGTCTCTTTGAAAGGGGTTTAAACTAAACACACACAAAAAAGCACCAATCTTATTCTGGAATAAGAGTGTCCACGTGGAGCGTTACACCTGCATAATGATAGCAGTTTAACTATATTGGTATAATTATACTTGTTTAACAGCTAAAGCTTTCTCATGTGCACGAGCCCTCAGATCAATGTCATCATTTTTTTCTTCTGCATTAGCTGTTAAACAAGAGGAGAGCAGGCAGTACAAAAGGATCCAAGTAGTGCTGTTCCCAATCCTGAGAAGGCTGCTCTTTGCAGGGCATGAGCTTCACAAGTCACTGGATTGGGAAGCAGACTCATTCTGTAGCATGCTTCTGTGGAGATTTGGCAAATATCCAAGTGGAAGTTAAAGCTACTGTACTTTTCATCATTTACTCTCTTTGTAATAACTGAAGCTTAAAAATAAAACCTCAACCTTTTTTTTATTTCGCAAACATTGATTTTCCCCTTGTCTTTGATGGAGCGGAAATAAATATGGCTCCCATTGGTTATGACACTGCTTTGTGTGTCATCATCATAGGCGATTTCTGGTTTTGTTAGCAGAGTGGAGTTCATTGGTTAAACTGTGTTCCCTCTGCTGACTGACTGACTTGTACTGCAATGACAAAGCAAAACATTATCTGACAGTTAAAAAGTTACTCTTTTGTAACTAGCCCTATTTTTTGGGAGAATAGTGGTGGAGTTCTTTTTAACACAAGTGAGTGAGTGCCTGTATGGCACTGGTAATGGGATTAATAGTTTATAATTTGTAGCTCACAGGTTCAAACAAGGGTGCTGGAACAATATTTATAATGGGAGTGCTGAAAGCAAAAACCCTGTATTTGGTTGTTACCAACCCCCAGCACC